TGATGATGATGATGATGATGATGATGATGATGATGATGATGATGATGGTGCTTGGAAAGGCCTTTCTCAAGTTGTGATAATCCTTTACAGACTGTTACTGGTAATGGGCTGGGGCTACACTCACATATGGGTTGTATAATAGCCATTTGTTGTGGTCTTTATGGTGTTCGGACATCGCCCTCTTCAGTTCGACGATGGCGCCCCTGCTCCTGAAGCCATCTTTGCCGAAGCTGTCCAAGGCGCAGTGGTGCTGAGCAGCGGAGTGTCCGGGTCGATCTACCCGTGTGGGGAGACAAAGTCAAACGAGCTGTCTCCAGGCAGACCGGCTGAGTTCTCTGCAGCCTACAAACAGCTGTGCTGTACTAAGCGCAGGGTAGACTGTGTCTCTATGTCTTTGAAGAAGGCCTCGGGCAGCAAGCCCTGAAGCTAAGTTTATAGTTTATACATTCCCGAAGAAGCTCCAAACAAAGTCGTGTAATAAGGAAAGACCCGACCTCTTGAACATCCCAAAACGACCCCACATAACCCCACAGACCTCCATTGCATCCTCACTGTCCAACCTATCCAAGGCCTTCGCAACCTTACATGCCGCATATGCCCGGATGCCCACCCGGATCACATGCTTGTACTAAACGACAACTTGATTTGATTATAGTTTGGTTAATTATATTGAATATATGTATATAATGTGTTAGTGACATTTAGTGACCTATCTTTTTACACTGACGAGGCATCGAGGAATCATCAAGATCTACGATCAATACCTGCATCTGCATGTCTTCACAAAGCCCAACCACCTAACCGCAGCGGCAGCCAGCCAAACAAAAATCAATCAGTCAGTCAGTCAGTCTGCTAGTATACAGTCTGCTCTAGGTAAACGTGCGTCAACGTGCCGGCCGCTTTGTCCTCGCTTTCCCGGGCCCAAAAAAGATATATCCAAAACCAAGAAGCCGCCCCCGCCGGCGGAGGCCTTTGGCCGCCAAAACCGCCAGCCCAACCACCCACCCATAAATCTCTCCCCCGGTATCGGCCTGGGTCAAGAAGTCTCTCAAGTCCACTTCATTCTCCAGCTTCACGCCTCGGTCGAGTCCGACCGTCCGAGTCGGTCCGGCCAGGTTCGGTGGGTTCGGTGGGTGGCGGTTTTTTGGAGACGGGTCGAGGCAGCTTGGAGGATCCGGTGGGAAAAACCCATGCAGAAACCCCAGCTGGCAAGGAGTTCATGAATGGAACCGGCCCATGAGATGTAAAACCATTCGGGTTGGGGATGGTTTATCTACATTACTAGGATGGCACCATATGATACCTACCACAGAGCAATCCTGCACTTTGGCCCCAATTGAACTCGGAAAAACCAGGCAAGCTTTGCGCAAATCGCCCTGATGTGCATATGGCATGCTCTCTGTGTTCTGGCCAATGTCCATGTACACCTATATAGAGGTGAAAAGCCCGGAAGCCTGGCTTCCACTACGAAGGTGCTCTAGGTTGATTACCCTGATTACCCATCAAAGTAGGGCTGTCTGTGTATGATAGCAGTTCTGACACACCAGTACCCCAGGCTCCGGCCTGTACCACGGGGCTTGCTGAGTTCAAGTTGTTTCAGTGTGGAAACACACATAATTAATTAAAACAGATGTCACAGTCTACGAGTGCCAGCCAACCAACCAAACCAACCAAGCATCATCCAACCACTGGCTGCAGTACATGTTAGTCAAGGCATGACCAAACCAACTAAGTATGACCATACCAATCCGCAGTCCAAACACTCTCCAACATGCCCTTCGCCACGGTGTTCGTTACGGTGTGTCGTTGCGCTGAGCCACGGTGTAGAAGCTTCATCCTGCGGTTCTCCTGCACCGCGCCGAGCAGATTCGGTCGTTGGCCCGGGTCTATCCTATTACCTGTAACAGTGGATGATGATGGTTAGGTTGCAGGCCTTGTTACAGGTACTGACTGTTACAGGCAAGTTCGGACAGACCCTAGCTATCCTACAATGCGCCTCACGCTGGGGTCAGGACCCACTTGCCGCGCCTCCGAAATGCTCCAAAGTTGCAATTGCAGTGCCTCACGAACACACGACGGAGACCAACTTCCAATGGCCCTCTACTTGACTCCAGCAGTGCATGAAATAGGGCCGCTGATGGGTTTGTGCAACGTCCACATTGAGTATAAAAGACTAGAATCCGCTTCGAAGGTTTGAACATTCATGCACATTTGATATAGTTGGAAAGGTTGCCGACACCTCTATAGAGATCATCAAATGTGGTGTTTTCTTGAGCGACAGCCCTAGTAAAAATGACTGTCAACACATTTCAGCGATCCTTGAACAAATGGTCCATGTCAGCATCTTGGAAGTGACCCCTACAAGTACACACAAGTACTGTAAGTGCTGCTATCCTTCTGCAAGGCCTTGATATCCTTCTGCAAGGCCACTTTCTGTTCCTCCACCTGGCAGAACGATCCACTGAGCGACTTAGGTGACCATCACCAGCTGTCCCTTGCATCGATGGTGTTCTTGAGGCATATTTGTTGAGTCATGTCACAGGGGTACTCCCGAACTCCCGATTACCGGTGCACCAAGAAGGGAAAACTGCCTATTTGACTGTGGCGGAAGGTACCCTGATGCTCCTACCAAGACCAAAGCTGCTTAAAAGCAAGGCCTGATTACTGGTGCACTCGATTGAACCTGCTACACTCACCCTCAACATGAACATGAAAATGGATGAAAATGGCTGAGTGGACTAGTAGAGTCATTCTTCTGCCCCTCAGTTATCCTCAGTTGTCGGGATTGAAAAACATTGTTTAAGAAATAGGAGATCCAAAAGCTGCAGAAGCTCCAGTTTGCGATTCAGACTTCGCCATATTACTTCTCCATGCTGTATGGACTTCTGGCCCACTGCCAAGACCAAACATTGATGCTCGAATCAATTGACACATTATAGAATACACGTGTCTCTAAGAGTCTGTGGCCGAAAAGAAAAGCATGTTCGAACTCCACCTTGGTGGCTGAATAGAAGGGTCAACCTGAACTCGTTCCACGAACCGCAACAATGTCACTAGAACCCATCTAAAACCAATCGCCCAAAGAATCTGTATAAGTTTGGTAGGAGAACCACTGAGGTGTGGGATGTCCATCTTAGCTTCACAATGCTTTGCCGCATGTGCCGTCTCCACCTCCAATGGCTGGTGGGATGAAAACCAGCCAAGACCGACCGGACAAACCGTCCGCCATTCGTGTGGACAAACAGTCCACCTCCGTCATCTGTTGCTGAAAATCAATCATGGAGGAGTTAATCAGCAGATTCCCACCATGACCTCGGGATGTAGCGGATGGTGGTCAAACACCGCTGCTAGGATGGAATGGATCCATCAAGCAGGGCATATTTCCAGGACGAAAGCCTGGCTGTTTCTTGAAATGACACCCTGTTCTTTGCCCAAGGAGAGGAAAAGAACATGTCAGCCGTTTGAGGTAAGATATATATATATATAATATATATAGCCCTAAGGCACGGCAAGAAAGATCGTTATCAGTCGATCTCACCTGTATTTCTTGCAGCACGGAGCAAGGTGGGTTCAAAGTTGAAAGTTTCTGTTGGATGGAAATTTCCGGAGATTTAGGATAACAAGCCTCTTACTGCTCATTGTAGCTCCTAGAATGCATCTGCGATCCGAAAATGAAACTGCTGCCACTGTCAGCATGTCTTCCATCGAGGACCCTCACAAATCTGCAGCTTCCGCAAGAAGTACCTAGAGATCCGCACACACACACACACATATTGTCTCGTGGAAAGCATCTCTAAAGAAGAAGTCCAACTGTTCTTGGTGTATTTACTGTGTTTGTGTGCTTAATCTTCTTCCCGTCTCAGGAGACAGTATGGCTTCATCTCTCATTTTGGAGATTTCGAGGAAAAGCCCAAACAAAAGCACACAGAACTGCACCGAACTACAAGAAAAAACCCGAACTGCAAGCAAAAACCCAATGGAATGACGCTGCACTCTTCGGCCGTTCTCTACCTGCGAACGGCCGGCCGTTCGACCTGACCGGTCCGGTCCGGAATCGGCACTCGTCGTCGATGATGGCCTCGACCGAGTTGACCTGGAAGGACGGTCAGATGAGTTGGAGGTGAAAGAAAGATGAGTTGTATGAGTTGGATGAGATGGAAGGTACAAGAAAGATTGGATGAGGTGAAAGAATTGGGGAGCTTCTTAGGGAGCTTCCTCACTTAGTGGAGATGTGTTGGATGGAGTCCCTCATGTCTTTTTCCACCTTCAATTCCCTGAGCTCCCAAAGTCTTCCCAAATGATCCAGCTTCGGCCACCAAATGGCAGCGTCCAGCCATTTGCCTTCGGAAGTAGAAACAAGTCACAGGCAGCCCTCGGCCTGCCCGTGACTAGAGTATTCAATACCAAAAATCATACAAAAAGCCATATATTGCTGAAAGAGTATTCAAGATCATACAATATACAAATAGTATTCAATACCAGTATTCATTTTTACCAAACCAATCGAGTTTGCTCTGCCTACGACATCTCTATTTTTTGGAAGGCTTAAGAAAGAGACCTCTTCGCCTCTTCCCTTCACCGTTCGTGTTCGATCGCGGACCCCGCCCCGCGAACCCCACCTTGCAGCACAACTTGTCGATGGCATCTGCTGGAGGAACCTGACTCCTGGGCACAGGTGGCAAATGATGGCAAATGGCCAGCTTCTTTTGGCCGTTTGAACATGATTTAATTTTTTTAAAGTAATAGTAATAATATATATATATATGTAAACACCGAGAACCCCACGGCCATTCTGGCCGTCTGGTGTGAATGGGTGGCGAAGTGGCCGCTGTGGTGTTTTTTCTTTGACAAGGAGTGATGTGTGTTGGATATCTGAGATGCTTTTGATTATGAAGCAAAGCCAGTGAATCCCAGAGTGAATTCCACTTCGCAATGCTGAACCAAGGATTTTTGCGGAGAACAATGGCCATTTGAGATCATTTGATGCCACAACTGGGTCTGAGAGTGGTTTTGGACACCATGAGCACTGGAAATTCTCTGGACAGTTTCATCTGGCAGCGATTTACAGTAAAGATCATGTTCAACCAATGATGAACAGTATCAATTGAACCGGTGAATCTGGAAATTCCGCCCGCACCCGAAAACATGTGTTCACCGGACCACCACCGCTGAACACAACAAATTGGTACCACTGGTACGGTATTTTGAAGGTGTTCTTTCAGGCGAAAGTATGTTTTAGAAATCATTTAAAGCCTGAGAGGAGCAGCGGGCCGGTTCAGGTGCTTGCAGCTTCCTCACACCCCGCTGAGAGGCTCACCCATCCGGAGATCTGCAGTCGATAATCCTGGGAGATTTCGTGACAGGATCCGGTCGGAATCCGAAGCTGCCTATCCACTCCCCCTGCTATTCGGACGGACGTTTTGGTATTCGGAAAATGGTGGAAACCACAGGTTCCATGTTAGTTTGCGGGTGGGTGTCCCATTATTACTTCATATATATTACCTGGTACTCTTGAAGCTGCAAATCGTCAAAGCAACGGATCCCCGTTCTTGAGTGGATGCTGACAACCAACATATGATGCCTCGAATTGAACCGATGTTCGGTCGAAACACCACTGCATCTTGAAGAACAGTCGGTGTGAAACACCGCGTCCGTCCTTGGATCTCGATGATGCACGTTGTCATCAAAGAAGACTTGCTTCACATCCTCATCCGGAAACACCTGGGAGGAGTCGGGTTCCGTCGGGCTCCGTGAGCCCCCGAAAAAGGAGATGAAACGCGAAAAAGGCTCACGTGGACCCACAAAGAAAGAATGGTTGGTGGGTGGTGGGTGGTTTCACCTCACTGGAAAATTACTAGTCAGTGGGTGCAATCATCCCAAGATATCCCAAGTAAGGTTGAAACAAGTAAAATATATCAGTTATTCCCAAACACTTTCGGATATGTTATATACAGCAAACGATTATAAACATATCCGAAAGCAACTCCCCGCAGCGGTCCAGAGTTCACCACGCATGCGCCTCCTGAGACTCGGAGTATTGGGGGTACACCACGCACTGGTGGGCTCGCGACATCGGACCATGTCCGGACCCTAGGGCTTCAACCAGCTCCTGAGGTGGTGGCCGGGATGGTTTTGGGGGGATTCTAACCTCTGAGATGGTTGGAACCCTAGGGTGAACTCAATGGTTTTCTGGAGTCCGAGCGGGTGAACTCTTCGTCCGATCCTTCGATCTCCCCAGCGCCGGTGTCCGCCAAGCTTCGGTGAGCAGCTTGCCAGCGGAAGAGTCTTCCTTCTTCCAGGCCCACCAAGCCCAATCATCCTCGTTCCAGCCCATTTATGGTGGGTCAAAAACCAGCTTCGAAGATCTCTCGGGGGATTCCGACACTGGTTTCACTGGTTTCACAAACCCATTGGGGTATATTATGGGTATATGTCCTGACTATGACTTGGAGTTCTTCTTGCACGGTCTGGGACGGTTTGGCACATCCCTTACGGACCATCGAATCGAGTGGAAGGAAAGAATGCATCCGACTGTAAGGGCTGAGTTTCTTTGGTGCCAGGCATGAAGCAAATGCACAATACTAGGAACAAGAAGCTACTAGTAACAAAGGGCATCGCTACGAACGGAGCGATCGGACACTCGCGAACGGACGCGCTCCTGGCCCGTACTACAAGTAAGAAGTAACAAGCTAGCCCTGACATTCCTGAGTCCACCCAGCATCCTGCCCGCTTCGCATTTCTGTCCTTGATGGCTGAGGTACTTTCAACTTCGATATGCTCCCTGGCAGCCCAGTCAGCTTAAGACCCGAAAGCCAGGCAATACGGAGTCAGAGCTGACAGCATGCAAACAAAGGGAACACATACCTCCAGCCTCCAGCTACCTCATGATAACTTCCAACCCTTTAAGCCCCAGCTCTTGTTCCTTTTTGGCGTTACCACTCGGTGGATCTCATGCTACCGCGTCGTCGCCGTAGAGCTGTCGGGCCATGGCCTGAGCGCAGAGTCGATCCCAGCCACGCTTGAAGGAACTCAAAAACCCGGGGGGGGGGTGCAAAATGTACCTACCAGCTGCTTCCAAGGGGTTACCTGGCTGGACAACCCCACACTGCTTATAGGTCACCAGACAGGACACCCAGACAGGAAGTGCTAGGTACATGTTGCAGGCGTTTTTCTTTTTCAGAAATGGTATGGTTTTGTAGCTACCACAAACCATGCAGCTGTGGTCCATGCCCATGGGTTCTTTTCGTGTTCGTCTGAGAGCTTTCGAAATCAAGGCTTCGCTATGTTTGGTGGGTTTTCTTCTTATCTGCCATCATTCTGTCTCCATTGAGACCAAAAAAAGGCTCCATGTTGGAGACCTCTTCTCTGTATTTCTCCATTCAGCTTGGTTGACCAGTTGGAACGGACGACCCAGTCGTCCGCGTCCGGTGGGCCTCCGGTGGCACCGTCGAAGTGTTACGCAGGGCTTGTCAAATGAGGCCACATGAAGTGGCGAGAAGCATCAAGTGAATTCATCATGGATCTATGAAGGTGCCCCTCAAATCAACGGAAGAGCCGCTATACATGTGATCTTAAAGACGAAACACCAACACGTTTCATTCCGAATGATGTTGGTGTCCCTTTACAACAGCGCTCGACCGGACCGAACCCGACCCCGGACCGGACCGGACCGGTTGGCCTCAACGAACTCCGGGTTCTTCTTCATGGTTTCCATGTCAATGCCCATCTCCTGGCCCGTTGGGCGAGGCACCAAACATCCAGGCGAGGCATGGGGACACAGAACTGAGGTCACTCCTGCAGATGATACAGTGATTTCTCCCCACAACCAGTGGACTGTAGAGGAAAATGGTGTTCCACGGGTTAATGCTCAGGGTCGATGTGAGTCTACAGGAGGGTATGTCAAGAAAATAGGGAATGCCTGGTCCATGTTCTGTAGAAATCCAGCTCCGGCAAGAGCTATTGAGTGATTCACATCTCAATAATCTCATATCTGTATCAAAGGACACCTCTTGGAGGGTAGTGAACGCCAAAATTGTAACAAACTGTACGTTCAAATGATTGGAAAGCAACAGAAATCCTGACCCCATCATAACCACTATCCAACGGCGAAAGACCCAGTCTAATGTGGGTGCTTCTTTTCGCTGCAGTCTCCTTCCAAACTCCAACCACAACCACCACCGAATCGGCTCCGAGAAACAAGTGAAACTCCTAAAGCACTCGACATCACAGCTACAGCGTCGCTGATCATCAGCTCTGGGCCCTAGATGGATTGAGCATGATTGAGCCCGCACGTAAGCTATAGTCAGCTAGTCTCGAGCCCTCCTTCATCGGACCCCCAAGGGTCATGGACACCGACCCAGGACCGCCCAGGACCGACCCTTTCCGGTCTGCCCGGGTCGCATGCGCCTTACAGGTGGATTGGATCTCAGGATCCTGGGAGGGGAGGGCCTTGAAGAGCCGAAGATGATACCGAGATCCATCGAGACCAGATTCATCAGTTATCGTTGAAAACACCCTTCGAGCGGTGCTGGTCTCTGTCCTTTTTCTAGCTTTGGCATGCTTTTGTACAGAGACCTGGCAACGTTGATGACAGCTTCCGAACAAAGATCATGAGCTACGAATCTTCTGTTGCAAGAGTTTCTTGCTGACCTCTGCCATACCCACATTGACCCCCAACAGCATTCATGAACCAAGACTCTAAGAGAAACCAATAATACGAATAATAAAAAAAAATATATATATATACAATAACAATAATAATAATAATACTAATACTAATAATAATAATATATATATATATATGTTCAAGAATTTAGGAGGATCCATTAGAACAATATATTACAAAACAATCCAGCAAATTGACTGCACTAGGGAAAACACGGGCAACCAACAAAAAGTTGGTTAAGTATAGAGTTGATGAATTAGGAACCACATGAGCTGGCCAGAGTGAAACTCTGAAGAGTCCTTTTCCATGCTGGTATAGAAGGCTCCTGGTCTGACACACCTTTTAGAGAAGTTCAACATTATCATTGGTGATTGGTGACTTATCCGTGTAATCCGGCTCAGGAAAATGGTCGGTCTAGCAGCGACATGCTTGGTCAGTGATTCTGAGTCATAAAATGTTATAAACAGTGAAAACATGGTGAAAACATCAAAATAGTTTCTGGTCATACGTATCCGTATGCCCACCCCGTTGCTGTGGCCTAATTGGTCTTATAGACACCCCTTTTGGGGATGTCATTGGTTTTGAATGGTTTTGATATGTTTTGACCACTGGGACACACACCAATCGAACAGATCGACCGCGTCCTCTAAGAGCTCGAGGATGGACTTCTGCTTCTCCAGCGGGCTGGGAGCTTCGGGCTGATCAGCCTCCTCGCTCTCAGAGCTCGAAGAAGTGGAACTCGTCGGTGCCGCCACCTTAAAGGGAATCAGGGTGAGCTTAGAATTGAAAAAGGGACACATCCTCCGAAACACATCTGACGCACACTGGACTGTACTATAATATACAGAAATTGAACTTTAGCTTGGGAGTTGCCCAAGTGGTAATAGTTGCAAGGTCGCAGACTTGTAAGGAAGGACACAACACAACACAACACAATGCGCGCAAATCCCTCTCTCAAAACAGATTTGACTGAACTAGAAGCTTACAAGTTGCAATATGTTACAACCTCTCCTTTAGCCTGTGCAGATTGGGGCATCAATGAATCATTGATAATCATCCAACTCTGCCCATCAGTTGACACAAGGCCGCAGTTGACACCTCCGGCCCTGACTTCGCCTCGTCGGGAACCTCCGAGATCTGCATCACCGCCGGGCCCTGGACATCGAACGGAGGGAGAACGCAATCCAAGGTGTTTTTGTGTCCAAAACTCGAAGAAAAGAAGGACTTTTAGGGGATTGGCTCGTACGGTTCTTGAGGTTTTGATATATATATTTTTGTGAATATATATATATGTGTGTTTGTTGATAGGTTTGTACCCTTGAATGTCTTGAGATTCATGATGCCACATGTCTTGAGATTGGACCTCAGTGTGACGTCCATGGTCTACGTGTGAATCGACTCCTCGTACCTCACCTAGCCTCAATGAGCCTATACCTTCGATGATTCAGGGTGTCCTCTGCAAGAACATCCCTGGTTGACTCCCCATCAGAAGAAAATGGACACCGGCAGGAACTAAGTGTCTTCACGGTATTCTCAGTCAAACCATGCCGGCCTTCTCTTGGACTTCGAGGCTACCACACACGCGGCGCGCTAGCTTCTTGCCCGCGAACTTGCCGATGATGCCCCTGCAGGTTGGGATATGGTGCTTGGTACCGGAGAGTTGGTAGGGCTTCTAGAGAAAAAGTCACTGTCGCAATCAGTAAATATACCTTTAATGTAGGGAATTCGACAATCTCTTCCTCATTGTCACTGTTAGCAGCAGCAACCGCAAGAAGGCAACACCATATAATTAAAGAAACAATTGGAAGGTCAAAGCTCTGATATCCAATAATGATAGTAACGTCCAAAACGCCAAGCAGCAGCAGCAAAGACAGATCCCATCCCATCTATCGAAAAATATCAGATTTCCCGCAAAGTTACCGATTCCTGGACCAAGGCCCATCTCTTGCCCCTACCAGGCTCCCAACCGTGACTCAACGACCTATCATGACCTTTATTCAGATAGTCTCAATTTCTGGGTCCTGTCAAAACTCAAGACGTGTGCGATTTGTTTTGCGCCGAACGTCGATGGAGACCATTGATTTTGCTACTGCCGTTAGTGCATCCTGTCTGGACCATGGCTGGACATCCCGACAGTTGTGGGTGGAGGGTAGTCCAGCCAGGTGACCCCAATGGTCGGATGGTCCAGGTGACCCCCTTCGCTTGGGGATGCAACGACTACTGCCCCCCGGTCCAGCCCCTCGTCTCATTCCGAGACGTGCCCGCCTTTCAAGAAACCAAGCAGCCCCGGAGTCCTTTCAGGAAATGGAAGACAAGAACATCACAAAGTGATGTTTTGATTAAGAAAAACCACCCTCAAAATGTGAAGCAAAATTCAATCGTCCAACCCTCTGTGGCTACTTGCCCCATCTAACTTACACAGTTACCAAATGGCTCCCAAGTCCCTGGTTGTGCCTCCTAAGTCCCTCTGTCCTATTACCAGTAACAGTGGATGATGATGGTTAGTAAAGACTTTGTTAAAGCATAGTGATAACTTGATAATTGTTTACTGACTGTTACAGGTAACAGGACAGAACCAATATATATATATATATTATCAAGTGGGGCCCAACTGTCAGCTGCTTCGGCTGCCTGCATTCAGATGAAGAAGTGAAGGCCCTTCTCACATGACACGACTTCAGGGGAATGACTTTTCTTCTTGTCTTTTGTGCCGAAGGAGCTAAAATAAGAAGGGTTCAAGAGATACATGAGATTTGGAAAAGATGGGGTGTCTCATCTGAGAGTTCACTACCAAAACTGATCTTTGAACCCCGAACTAGAGTGTCTTGTAGGTGATAATGGTCTTCCAGGGGTCCTCAGGTTCTATGTTTGTTTCCCAGGTTAAGATAGGTTAAGCCCATTTCTGCTGATGAACCCCAAAGCCGTTTCAGGACACGTCCGAATCTCTTGGGTCTTTGGCATTTGGAGATCTCAGAGATTCCACGCTGATGTCGAACGTGTCTGTTCTCTCGGCCACAAGCCCAACCAAAAACGCTCCACGGGCGCCACTGGCGAGCGCCTGGCCGGTTCGCAACCATAGCACGCCAGGATCCTTGGATTCGCCAATCTCCAAAACGAGAGGAAAGACTCCGAGACGCTTTGAACATCTTCTACACCATTTCAGGACACATCCAACTGAGTTCTGTAACACTGCAGTGTATATTTACGCAATTGTGCCTAGGAGGTGAACGTGCACTTTCTTCCTGCAAGCATGCAGAGTGAGGTTGCTGTTGCTGTTGCTGTTGCTGCTGCTGCTGCTGCTGTTGTTGTTGTTGTTGTTTGCTGTTCTTGTTTGCTGTTCTTGTTGTTCTGCTGGTCTTTTCTGCCTCCAAGTGCCAAGGCTGGTCAAGCCACTCCAAAACGACCAGCGGTTTTGTGGGGCAACTGACTGAATATCGACTGCACCGGTGTTGAGCAAGATGTGATAAGGACTGTCTCCGAAGCCAGGACATGCTGCTACACCCGTTTCCTGGTCAGGTCAGTCCATGACCTGTGGGTCAAGTGCATCTCCCAGTCTTCTCGAGGCGAGTCTATTCTGCCCAGGATCGGATTCGTCCGTTTTGGCTTCCAGGACTCGAAACTCTTCCCCTGCGACGCACAGACGCGATCCGAGGCGATCTGAGGCAAGATGCGGCGAGTCGAACGCGGCCGTGGGGCTTCAAGTCATGGATTTCTCCAGGACCCAAGGACTCTGTTGAAACCAATCATCACTCTCCCAGAGTTCTCACTTCTGGTGCATGGACCCGAACTTTGAGGCCCAAACGCAGGCCGTGACGGTCGACCGTCCCCACACAGGTCATTGTTTCACCCCCATTCGATGGGTCCGGTTCGCAGTGCGTCCGCAGAAGCGTCCGGCTCCCGCGGGAACCGTCGGGTTCCGCCGGACTGCCATATTTGCAGGGTGGTGTCATGGCTGCTTTCATCCCTGTTTCTCTTCCTCCGGTTCAAAACCTCCACTTCACTCCCTCGCGCAGCTTTCACCCTCCCGGAGCTTCACACGCTTGTTGTCCAAAAAAACGTGGAGTCGCTTGGTCGCAGGGCGGTTCCGTCCGTCCGCCCGGTGGCCTTCTTGGATCTCGTAGGTCGGAGTCACCAAATCCGCGAACCTCGGTGCCGAACAGGAGTGCTTCGCTCGGTGGTTGAAAGGGTCGGAACGAACGGGAGGCGGATTTGGAGCCGGAGGGAGGAACTCGGTGGTTGCCGGCGGTCTTTTGGGAAGTCTGGGGTGGAAAGATCTGATAGGGGGGTTGTTGGAAGATCGATGATCTATTATGTTCAATGAGGATATCATTCAGCGGATATGATGATTGAGGCCGTTGATATCCATATTTCTTTGGACGTACATCTGTCCTGTGGAAAGAAACCATTGATGCAAAACACAACAAACACATACGAACGCCAAAGAAAGAAACGGAAGTCCCTTCGGGAGAACACCATAGCAACGTTTACCTCACGGAGCTAACAAGGACCACAATGGCGAACCCACACGTCTCCCTTTTCACAAACCACTGTTATAAGGTGGAAAATGGTGGAAAGTGGAAAGCCACTTTACGGCAACCAGCAAAATCTGCCTGAGTTGTCACCAACCCGGAATCCGGGGGCCTGATTATGAAGAACCTTTTCATTAATGTGATCTCTTGAACAAAGAAATCGTATCATCGTTTGTGAGGTTGCGAATGACTTGGACATACTCAACCAATGGCTGATGCGGAGCTTGGGAAAATGCTGGGCACTAGCATGACCTTGCTCTGACCGTGCTCACCTGGGCACTTGCTCACCACTTACATCACCAGGTGTTCCACACCTTTGGGCACCAATGTCATCAATAGCTTCATCAAACCAAGTACCCAACGACACCGTGGTGATCTATAGATCGAGTACCATGCTCTGACCGTGCAATGTTGATGATGGATTTAGGTTGTGTCCCACTGTAACAATAGCGTCATCAATAGCTCCAACAGAACCTAGCTACCTTCAAACACCAACCCAAAGTTGCACACTCCCTGGAATAATTTCCTCTGCAAACAGGTGGTTTTCCACTTCCTTTTTTATTTCAGGGATTGTAAATCATTTTACTTAAACTCACAAGCGGTGGAGAAACAACCGTTAGGGTGTGAATGGGTTGGATCTCCCTGCATCTCAACACGCATCAAACTCTGTGCTAAAGAAGACACTCGGATCTACGTGATCGTTCTGTGTTGAGATGGGGGTCCAGCTGCCAAATCAGCCAAATCCGATGTTCGAATTCACCGTCTTCGTTCGCTCCAGCCGTTCTCCTTCGGCTGTTCTGCTCCAAAACTCTGGAGCTCACGAACCCGCACTTGGTTCCCCCGTGTCACACTTGGTTCCGCTGAGGGTGTGAAACGGGGTGTCCGATCAAAACCTGAAGCCCACGCTCTCATTGCACCCTGCTAGTAGTCTATTCTGGTCATGTTGGGGAACAACCCAAGGTCCCCCTGTCTTGACCCATACTTTTCTCTCTCAAGCAACTCTTCTTCCCATGGCACCGCGTCGTCCACCGCTGAGCTGCTGACTTGTGTGGCGCCACCCTCAGGCGGATTTTGGTCAAGGCCTTGAGTTCCCGTGCGATGAAGGCGATGAAGCGATGAGGACAAGGACTCCTGTATATGTCTTAGCTTTCCCTACATGGTGCTGCTTTTTCGAACCCGGAAATGACCCCCTGCCTGCAAAGAACAGGCCAAAGCCGAGAAGGTTCCAACTGTTCAGGTTCTATATGCCATGATATGCCACGTGATTCTCAATATACTCTATTCCCTTTCCCCTTCGTTACCACTTGGAATGTCCGTCATTCCCACTCTGATTTCGCAATGGCTCATCGTCCCGTCGACTCGGACCGCTCCCGCTGCTCCGCGGAGCAGCCGTGGGGCGGTCCCCGGTCCCCGGTCCATGGTCCGCGCCTTGTACCGGGCAGGGGCCGCCGGTGGCCTCAAGGGCCCCGGCAGATCGAAGATGGGCTTCTCGTAGTCCTCCGCACGCGAGGGAGACCGGGTCGGACCGCCGAGGCCGTCGAGTGCGGGTGCGGAGGATGGAGGAGGTGACTCGTGGGTCGGCAGATGGATGGAAGGGGGGTTCACCCATGGAGGGTTTGGGCAGATGCGCAAGGAAACAGAGAAGGAATCAAGAAGGAATCATTAGGTCGGAGCATGGTGGTGACTCACAGGTGTTGTTTCTTCTTTTGAAGGGGAAGTGACTCATCATGTCATCCATTTTTGGTGGCATTGTGGTTGCAAGTCTTGCATTAGATCATCTCATTTTCAGGTCACCTTGTTTCCATCGTTTGGGGGGATCATCTTTTTTTTGATTCATCATCAATCTATTTGATCGTAGTATTGAAGATCATCTGAGGCGCTTGCGCCTCAAACCATTTAAGGTCGGACGCACTAGTTATGAAGGACCATTACTCTAAATGACCATATACGGACCACAAGAGGTTTGTAAGATATATCCATTGCTCTTTTGTAGTTGTTTGCTGGACTGAAACTTCTGTGCTCTACACCTGGTTATCTGGGGAGCTTGGATGAAGATTTACCGAGGCCTCTCCCCCGAGACTTCAGTGATTGACCCGAGAGATCGAGCTCTCGGGTCACATCGAGAGTGGCCAACATCCAACAGGAGTATGGGATAGTATGGGTGGCAGTGTGGCACCGTCCAATTTGGGGAACGTCACACAACACCCAACAGACTGAAACACTGGATCATCAAAGGATTCATCAGCACAGAGGCTGAAGCTTCCTTCTTCCTCTGCCAGTGTCCCTTTGCTTCCAGCCACCGAAACCCTGAAAAAAGAAAACAACTCCAATGAGTCACGCCCCAACCTGCAGCTTCTTCGCTCGTTCATGCTTTTGTCGGCTTCGTAAAGGTGACATTCGCTTCATCTTGACATCGCTTCGATCGCTTCGATCGCCCCACTCACGCACCCCGCCCTCCTTGTCGGTGTTGGCTTGTACCTAGATGGCCGTGCTAACTTGGCAGCCAGTGGCGGAGCAGTTGAGGGCTCAATGCCCCATGAACGCAAAAGAAACGGCAATGTGAACATGCATAGGTGTGTTTTGGGGCGTGCCCAATGGATCCTACGTAATTTGGAAGGATAAACATGGATACATCTTGGATAAACAATGAATTCTTGAACTTCTTGGATTTGGGAGTAGCTAGCATTCGCCCTACTGCAAACCTGCCGATCGAAGTTCTGTGACCGACCATGGCCAGGCTTGCCTGGGTCGCTTCGATTTCCAAGTCTTGCCCGATCTGATTGACCTAGACGGTCATATTGGCCTGGGTCAGATTTCCCTCAGAGTCCAGGGTCCTACTTTGTACAGTAAGGGTCCATGGACTCTGAGGATTTGGTGTTTACATGTTGTTTACCTTCGAAAAACCGTGAAAACCGCATCCTGGCCATCGTCCTGCGAGGTCCGTTCGTCGTCCTTTTTTCCGGCGAGGTGTCTCCAGTCGCATCGACGACCGGAAGAGCAGTCAGCAGTGGTATTGCTGGTACTCAAAACATCCCCATAGCACTTTCCTTCAGTGCTGGTGGCAACAAACGTGGCAAGTTCGCAAACGGAGGCTGAGTAAAAGGTGCAAAAGATGCGAAAGGAAGACCGTCAGGAAGGCCTCCAAACGCCCCTTTGACGCGCGAAACAGTTGAAACACTTCAGCCCCTTTTGAACTGATGCTCATTTCAAACCAACCATGGAACAACAGCACAACATTGTGTTTCTGTAATTTGATCTGCAAAATATCAGGTTCCAGACTCCTTCAGGAATACTGAATACTGATGTCAAAATTGAGACTGTCGGGTTAGCCGAGCAGCTTCGGCACTCTGGACATGTCGTGGCCATCGAGCACCAGCGAAAAAAAACAAACAGATTGTAATGTGCATATTGGCGTCTTGCTGAACTTGAAGGGTGAGTTTTAAATGACTTTGATGTCCTGAGTCTTTGATGTCCTGAGTCTTCGATGGAAGGACTTCCTTCGCGGCACTCTCTGGCAGGACGGCCATCTAAACTCCAGTCGCCGTTCCTGCTCGTCTGGGAAATCAAAGAAAGACCTAGAGCTTGGAGAAGGGGCCTGCGACAAGCACATCGATCGAACAAAGGCTTCCGTGGTCGATCGAATCAGGACCCAGGGGGAATGAAGAGCACTTGATGCCAATACACCCAACATACCGGCATACCAGTAGCTGTATCAAGATGGAATTTACTGTGCTCCACTTCCTTCTGAAATGTCCTCCAATAATCAACGTTGCTATGTTATAGTTGAATCAGATCTTCACTCTCGTACAAGTACATGGGTGTTCTGTCTGTGACTCCAGAAATATCTATCTATAGTCTATAGATGTTGCCTTCACCATGGTCACCATGGATCCAAAAGGACTCAACAAAATCCATCCGTTCCCATCCTTCACAAGATCTTCTCATATTCCGGAAGGGTCGACCAACGACCATGTTGACGACATGTGGCGACCCAACGAGGGACGACCACGACCTCATGAGGTGTTCCTTTCAATGTTCACCAGGTTGACCAATCATGTCCAAAAACAGATCTGGAGGCTCTTGGTCAACTTGAAGTGGACCAGTGTGGCCATGTGCATCATAAAATCCAAAAATAAATTATCGATCATCAAACTTAGCACGTTATAAATTGATTGTGCTTATCTACCTGATAATCTACCTTCAACTACTGGGCCTGGCCAAACAGGTCTCCAAACGAATAATTCAGTGGCTGAAATGGAAAGGAACAGCTGGCACCCAATCGCCTGTGTTTGTTCCAACAGCTCCCTTCTTCTGCCGACATGGGCGTAACGGGCCGCCCGGAATTCGGATGAGATCCCGAAGTAACTTATATGTACGTTAAGTATTGTCACGGTCACAAAGACTCCAGAAAGAGGTTACAAAGACTCCAGTGTGGCATGGTCACAACTTCTTGCACCCTTGAACATGAACACTTCTTGCACCCTGCCGTTCAGGTCGTGTGGATGTACTTATCGGACCGAAACTAAAAGGTGCCTCACCACTCGACCCCCGACGCTCCTGGCGCCGAGTTGTTCTTCCGGAAGTCCTAGCGGGTCTGGTGTGATCCAACTGGTCTGAGTTCGACGGAGCCGAAGAAAAAGCATAGAGGATTGAGGGACAAATCTAGGGGAAGCCCATGGTTTTGGAGGTGATCACCATGGTTTCCTGTAGATATTCTCATAAAATCCTATGAATTTGTGCAAAGACGTCAGCCACACGTGAGAGATGCCAGCGGTGAGGTCATCACTTCTAAGTTGATCATGTTATGTTGTATAAATCATTATGAATCACATAAAATCACCATAGACACTTGCTAGCTTCACTGAACCCAACCTCAGGCATATCTCCAAGTCGGGGAATTCACAGTCCAAGAGTGGGAAAAGGTAGTGTTTCACGTCCCTCATCTCACCCCCCACCCAAAACCACCAAAACATCCCCCCAAAACGAAATCGCCCGTCCTTAAGCACCACGTCGATGAGGGTTTGTCCTGGGAAGACTTTGGTGCCTTGCTTCTGGGCGCAAGCTTCCAAGAGTTTGGAAGGCTCGAAGTAGTCGATCGGCAGGTAGTGCCTGGGAGAGGCTAACATTTAGAAAGACTAAGCCAACGGAAAGGAGTGGGCGGATGAGGAGCAATTGAAGAGTTCGAGACCCCTAATGATGTTGTTTCTTAGTCTTGCGACATTGTGAATCCCGGAAAATCCCACAACGATTCTCCACCTAGTAGTTTCTAGTTACTAGAAAGCTTCTTGTTCCTAGTAGTAATGCCAGGAGCTACGTTCGTAGCTTCTTGCTCCCAGCGATGCCCTTTGTTACTAGTGACTGGTCTAGTTGGAGCTTGAGCTGTGGGATTCCGCCACTGACTCAGTGGCTGAGAACATCTCGCATTTCCTGTACTTTCGGGTCATCGCTGGGCCAAGCACGCGGCTTAACCATGAAAAAACACTGCAGTGACACCACACCGGGAGCTCTTGGATAGGCTGGTGCTGGTTGGTGAGAAACTCTCTCCCATGGCACCTGGGAAGACCTCCCAAGACAGTCCAAGCGGCGGATTCTTGGTGAATCGCTCCTTGGCCTGTCAGGTTCTGTGGAAAAGCGGGGTTGGCAGTTGAAGCAATGTGTTCAAGCCAGTTTAGTGGTCACATGTTGTCACACACCCTTCCAAGGGCCGAACACCTGTATCGTATACATTGTACAGGGTGCAAACTCTCAACAATTGTGTGTCGAGCCGGTCCTTGGTATTCCTTGGATCTGCTATCGATTATTCAATAGACATGCTTCAACGAGTGGTTGGGAATTTGATGGAGGCTCCTGGCAGAAACTAAAAGGATCCCCATATGCCACCGATCAGCCTGTGCCCCATAGACCTTCAGTCGCTCCAGGATCCTCAGGTGGGAATGCGTGGGAAAGGTGAGCAAGAAACAAACCAATGGTGTGGGCTATTGAGAAACGATGGCCTCCAACCTAAGAGCGATGGCCTCAAACCTAAGAGCGCCTAAGAGCGATGGCCTCCAAGCTAAGAGCGATGGCCTCCGACCTAAGACCAAACACATAATAGAGCTTCAGCACTCCAATAATTACTATACATTACTATATACATCTGATATACACCACCATCAAGAAAAAACACTAACTTAGACACCAACAGGAGAACCTCCTTGCCCTGCAATGCCCTGCAGCGTACACGGAAAGCCCACGCCATCGCTACAACCAAAGCTCTTCTGGAAGCCCACGTAGTTCTCCGCGAAGAACATGGGTCCTCCCTTGCTGGGTGGAAAGCCATAGCCTCGGTGCTGGGAGAAGTGGTGTGGTGTCTCACCTAACATGGACCTGGCCAACATGTAACATGGACCTGGTTGGACCTGCTGTGCTTGGCAATCGTCCCATTTTGGGGCAGAATTCCAACATCATTCAACCTGATCCTCCTCCAATCGCTCAAGTGACCGCTTGCCTCGTCCAAACTGAAAAAAGAGTGCGCCTCCCCGACCGGTTTGCTTGCCTCCTCGGTCGATTCCCTCCCTCAGTCGGTCCATCAGTCCGACCAAGGCACCGTAGATGTAGACAATGTCGATGTCCGAAGACCGAGCGACGTAGCCTTCCTGTCCGAGGGCGAGGCCGGAACTCACAAGGGCCAAGCTATGCCCAACGTTCTGCCTGGAACTTCCAAGCTACGTGTGTGTGTGTGTGTGTTGCCTTTTTGTTTGGGGGAACTGCGGCGTGAAAACCAGGAGGTTGTAGGTATATAAACGCATCACATGTGTTTGTGTGTGTGGCTGTCTGTGTGTTCACGAATAAATAGGAAAAGCCATGAAAAGCCCAATATAGAACAAATATGAACAAAATTGAACAAATAACAATAGCAACCAACGGCATGGGTCACCCACGCAGGGCTCGACCCTCCTGAAAACGTCTGTACTACTCATTCACCACAGGCTGCGTCGCGTGCCTCACTCGTGTTTCTTGTTACAAACTGCGTTCGTCACGAACCTCCAGAATCTTGAAGCCCTCGTTGATCATCGTGAAGAAGAGCCGTTCCACGATCTCTTCGTCCGACACGGCCCGCGCAGTGATGCCCTTGGTCTTGCGAATCTCCTGGCGGACGGGTGGACCCGGCGCGACTGAGGTGAGATGCTTTGGAAGGCCAGGGCGACTGCGAGCACCGAAAAGGAGTGCGACATGGCTATGACCCACGGTCCCACCAAAACAACAGATCATCTTATACTGGGACCAATGGACTACCCTCCACTACTTAGGGATCTCCATTGGACATCCATTGGATGGTCCAGGTACGTACTCAACTTTGTATATATCTTCAATGCCCTGAGTTCTCAAAAGCAGCAAGTATAGATCGTGGTCCCGTCCCTCGTGGTCAGCAGGGACGGGTGACTAGTATCTCAGTTCTTAGCCATTGTGAAATTCAAGATAGAATCATTCAAAGATAAACATCTTCAAACTCACCCATTGACTTCGCATCCATCCTCTACAAATCCACATACACAGGAAGTGAATCGCATCTCGCGTGACTTCGACGCTGTGGGCCGGAAATCTCTCGTGTGTCCTCCATCTTGGCCACGACCTCGGGGTCCACGTACTTGTCGCGTCCCTGATGGATGAAGACTCCGCGGCCGTTCGCCTGCCGGTGTGAGTCTTGAGTTGCCACGTGGCTATTGGGGGGGTACGTGCAAAGTCTCGAAAAGCGATGATATGGAGGAAACAAAAAGTTGAAACAGGTGCATTGTGTCATTCAGAAAAGTGTGACGTTAAATTGAAACAGGCATACATCTTGCATCATCATCTTGCATCATCTTGTCATTTAGAAAGTTCACATGGCAGTTGTTTCCCTTGCTCGTGTCTTTAGGGCACCAATATATACCTGAGTGCAAAATGAAAAAAACTAAACTGCATGCAATGGACGGTCACAAAAGAGTGACATGCAGTTTCACTCCCCAAGCCAGCCCAGGGAGAACTTGCATGAACTTGATCACATTCAACACCCTCATGGATGATGAGTCTTTTCAGAACGCCCAAGCAGCAAGCAATTCTGTTCATGTTGGTGTGTTGGTTTAAAGACTTGACCGGGCAAGCTGGACCTCTTGGGGTGATGTTGCTGCATGAACACGCACGACAAACTGGTTCAGCTCATGCGGCGCCAATGACACTCCCTGGAACATGGCCCGCGTGGCCCCGAACTCGTTCGGAAGACCATGAAATCCGAACACCAAACAGAGGGTTTTCCCATGGTGAACTCCACTGGCATGTGAGTTCCAAGGGGTTTTCCATCGTGGGGCCCCGCGGCCCACGGGATGCGCCGTGCCATCGCCCTCGCCCACGCGGCCGGTACGTACGCCGCGCCTTGATGCTGGGATCGGGTGTCTTCAAGCCAAAGCGGCCCTTCTCGCACAGCCAGTCAGTCAGCTCATAGGGACCTAATGCTGGATGTTTCTGGAAAAGACGGTGAGTTGTGTGTGAGTTCCTCGACCACGAGTCCCAGAGAAGCTCTTGGACAGAAACTTATACGTATAATGTTGATGGTTCATGGACCATCAAACGCATCTGGAAGACAGGCATGTCACGCAATTACGGTCCGTGTGGGTCCCTGTGGCGTCCCCTAGGCGGAAGAAATGGATTGGAATTAGTCTCTTCGAACTTTTTGGGTGCGCATTGTAATAGGGAGACCTCCGTTTGGCCCCCCCCGGAAGAAAGAAAATAGACCACAACATACCACAACTTATTGTCGGGGGGGCCCTATTAAAATACAAACCCATTTGCCACTATTGCAACCAATTGCTATGCAACACGGTTGAATCAACATATGCGCCCTGTGGAATGCGATGTCAGAGGGTGGATATACAAACAACATACTGTAGGAGTGGAACATGGACACCTCTCGGTGGCGTAGCTACCTGGACATTGGTACACACACCTCTTTTGTTGAGCACAAAGGGAGATTTCATAAAGTAAGAAACAAATTGTTCCCATCAAATTCTAGTAGCAAGGACGCTACTAGTGGCTCCTGGCCTTACGACTAGGAGCAAGAAGCTACTAGGGACAAGGACATCGCTACTAGGAGTAAGCACGCTAACTACTATTAGCGCTTTGCTACGAGTAGTAATTAAGGAGGAAGCTTCAGTCTTCTACCTGCACTGCTCACCGTGGTTTCGACTCTATACGTGATATTCCGGAGAATCATTTCTTCCGCGCAGGGTGCAGAATGCTAGGAAGGGGAAACGACCTGGATAATGAGAAAACAAGCCTGGAATTCTTAGAACCATGATTAACTATGAACCCTTGGGAATTCAGCACCATTCAAGCACTAACTGATATATAGTCATAGTAAGCATGTTGCTCCATGTCAATGTAGCCACATATTGGCGGCATCTGAGTGGTGGCGAGCCGCCGTAGTAAGTCTTGGTCTGCTTCTTCATGTCGCCAGCAGCTTGGCGCTGCCTCAGGACAACTCATAGGACAAGAACTCAAAGGACTACAGGCGAGCCACAGGACTACTGTAGGTGTTCCAGTAGCATCCAGTAGCTGTTGGTTTGGACTTGGCAGTCACAGCGCAGGTATCCGCAGCTATCCGCAGGTGCTCTTGAAAATGTTCTGATGGATCAAGAACTCTCGAGTCGGATCAAGAACAGGGCCGCATGCAGACGGCCAGACGGCAGAAATCCAGGAGTTGAGGTGAAACCCTCTCCGCCAGGAAAACGCATCAAAAGGTCTCGATTTTTTCCGATGACCTGCATGCTTTGGCTTGGCTCGATGTTTTGCCAGGGGCCTCCCAAAGCTGTAAGAAGGAAGTTGAGAACACCTGTTTGTAGAGGAACGTGGTGATCCAAAAAGCCATGCCATCCACGGGTAAACCGATTTGTCCTCAAGGCTTTCAGCTTCATGGTTGGACCAAGTATTCCATTGCACCACCGTAGCACAATGGCGCAACCCTCAACTGCTGGGTTCAAGCTACATACTAGGGCTCTGCCATCATCTTTTGCCTCTGTCAAAGGTGTTACTTTTCTCAACCCTTTCACCCCCTCTCCAAGTGAAAAACTGGTTGTTTCTCGACTCCGAAGCCTTGGACAGGGTTGTTCTCGACTAGCGAGCACCGACAGTCGGACTCTCTGGCCGATTCCCCTTCCCCAGGTCCGCCGGTCCGCCCGTTTGCCTCTTCGAATCCGACCGTCTCTCAACTGTCCCGACCCTGCGCCAGCTCTCCGTGCACCCCCCTCAAACAGAACAGCAGAGCTCGCAGAGCTCAGGGTCAGTGGAATTCTTCGCGTGAACCAAACCCAAACCTCTTCCGGAACCGGGCACAAGAGTTTCCCGGCGTTCTTCTCCGCCCGAGGAGCTTCCAGAAGAGTTCCAAGCCAACGAGGTCTCCCAATGCCATCGGTCCCATGGCCATGCCGAACTTGGTGCAGGCCTCAAGCCCACCGATTTAACCGAGACAGTTAATGTTTGTCCAGAAGGGAGAAGGAAAAAATGGGGATGGGTCGTGACCCACCAACTGGTTCACCATGTAGCGAACGGCCTCCCACATAGGTTCACCAAGTTATCCTGGTGCAATGACCCACAGCGAAATAGGGAAATGATGTTGGGATCCAGGTCATGAATGCATATGAATGCAAGGGCCTTGAGGAGACGCTTGAGGGGACGGCAAACAAAACTCAATGTCTTGGGTTTTATTGGGCTCACAAAGAACTCTCCACCGTCAGAATCCTCTTGTTGCTGAACATGGTTTTTGCAGCACACAATCCTCTAGTTGTTTCTTTCAAGGCAATCTGGAGTGACTAGGTTATGTATATGATGAATGTTTTGGCTGGCCCCTTCTGTCTCGGATAGAGACCTTGGCAGAGTTCTTTCAACAAAGTGCAGAACAAGATGACAACAATAAACACGCTGGAGAATTATACTTATATAACAATAAGGACTTGGCTTTGCCTTGTTTTCTTGTGTCTTGTGTCCACGCCGTGTTCATGTGTGGCCAGGCGGGCCATGCTTCGCCATGCTTCGCCATGCTTTGGCCCATCTGCCCGCCTTGTCGATCTGCTCAATGGTGGCACCCTCCTCGCCCACCATCTTGGCCTCACCTGCGTAAGGTGCCAGCATCCGGTTCCCCACGAAGCCATCGCCTCGGCAACGAAAGCAAAAGAACAGTTCCTGCTACGAACGGACGAGCCAGGCGAAAGAGGACGTCATACGAGCCAGGTCTATAAAGAACAACCTGAGATTGAAAAAAGAACATGCATGTATGATTTATGTGATTCAAACATACTTTTTGAGATTCCAGGTGCTTTGTTGGTGATCCCATAGATATACCCCCAAAAAACTTGTGGATCAGTCTTTGGTTGTGAACATCTATCTTTTGCCGTGAATAGTCTTTGCCAAGAATGGTTCTCAGGGGTTTTGAAGGGTCAGTACGCACATGTATACCTTTTACAGTCTCATATTCTTAGTGACTTAGTGTTTATAATTAGTGTGATCTTGCATCTATTTGGAGGCTACTATATTACTATATTGTTGGTTGGACAAAGACCTGCAACACAAGCGTTGTTTCGTGTTTCGTTTGGGAAGTGATTCACAGCGTGCATGTTTGCTGACCTTTGTGCCGTGGTCCGTGGTGAGTCATTGCCCAAGGCGAGGATCTTTGGACCGATGCTTCAAGCACATCTTTACAAATCAACGAACAGATATAAAGAGGATCTAGAATCTGGAAAGTAACATGCGATGGACACCCATTGGTAACAACTGTATGTGCAAATGCCGACCATGCGGGGCACAAAAGCATTCTCGACAAGTGGCAGTTGCCCACCATCACTGCCTTCTTGCTGATGATCTTGGCCATCTGCATGCCAGTGGACAAGGTCTTAATGGAAGACTTGCCTCACACGGGCCAAAGCGCGGGTTAAACAGTCCAAGGCCAAACCACCGAATACACAGGAACAAAAGCACAAAAGAATACATTACAATCATTGGATAGCATCGCCTCAGAAGACAGACCTTTCCTCTACCAAACAGGAGGAAGTGTTTCACTTCCATGTTGGGTCAATCCTATTAGCAGACTCCCGGTGAATGATGATGATGATGATGATGATGATGACGATGATGGTTTAGTTGCAGGCCTTGTTCAAAAAGAGTGAGTGATTTGATGCACATTTGCAGGTCCTGTTGCAGGTCCAGCTCGGACAGATCCACTTCTTCCATGTAATCAGACGACCGGAAGACCCTCGGGCGTTCTCACGCTCGACAACACCTTCACAGGCCCGGTGGCTGGTGCGCACGTTCTCCAAGAGCTGCATGACGTTGGCCGGAGAGAAGAAGTGGGTTCCCATCACCTCGGTTTAACACAATTCGAGCTGGGCAGTGGTGATCGGAGATGTGGAGGAGAGGGAGAACATGCAAACTTAGAGGAGGATTCAGATGGACTCAGGAGATAGGTCCTGAGGCTGGAAGCTGAAAACTATGCTTTACATTAGCCTAAAGCCTGAAGCTTGACTACCGCAAGGCCTCAAGCCTTAAAGAAGAGACGTCAACCAAACATCACCCTATCACTGTATCCACTTGAGGCCGGCAAAGTCCCACACCAAAAGACCCAAGTGGAGGCAGGCCCGAGAATCTGTGTCCTAGGTATGTCCTAGGTGTCCTAGCTATTCCTGTGTGCACTCCACGAACCCGAGGATGCAATGCTTAAAACACCAGGACTTTAGGAAGATAACTTTCCTTCATTGAACAGCAACTAAGGCTAGTTGCTAATGAATCCATAGTTCCCATGTCCACCGGAATTGCAGGGCCCAACTATTTGAACCCCAAAACGATCGTGAACTAGTCCACCATATGGACCCCTTCCTCGATATCTACGTAGAGGAGCATGTTCACACACGAGCCTACACAAAAATAAACAGCACCACCTGGTCACCTTGGACTGGATTAGGGAACCTGGAAAAAAAAAAACATAAATGATTCCCCAGCAGATTCAACATCTACCCATAAGGAAAAATGAACCAATTATATACCTTGAGCAAACCCAGGCCACACACCGCCCCGGTACGGTCCCGCGGTCCGGCGGACCCGGTCCCCACCGTACCGTCCCAAGGCACACGGCTGGGATCCTTAAGGACCGCTGCGATGTCATCGATGTTCAAGCCGCTGGTGTTGGTGCAAATGAGGCAGTCGGGCTTGGTGTTCTTCCTGGTCCCAGCGGCAGGTCGGCACGGACCTCGTGACCCGACCCCTAGGTCCGACCCAGCTGGGATGAATTGGTGGGGGGGGGCATCTGGCTGGGGCCAGGTTCACCAAACAAGAAGCACGATGCAGCATGACGGTTTCCGGGGAAGTAGAATTGATGTGCTGATGCTTGCAGATTACTTAACATATCGTAACATATTACAACGCCTTCCCCAGGTGCTGCGGGCCCTACAGCAGATTGATCATGCTAGTCGACAAACAATGATCCAACAAATCAATGTCAAACATGGTCAAAGAAACTGATCACATGGTCGTTCATCCCAACAAAGTGAGGTTCAGATCTGAAGCGTTCTCTTCCTCGACTTGAAAAAGGCCCACCGCTTGACCTTCACACGTCCTCTTGAAACATCTTGAAACTGGAAAGGTTAACATGGAATCCGAACCTCCCTAGGTCTTTAGCCTTTTTTGATTTGTGGCAAAACGTCTTCCCAAAAACCTCTCTTTAGGATCTTTAGGTTACATGAGGCTCTCTTCGCGTTGGCCTCTGTAACTGACCACTATATGATGCTATGTTGTCTAAAAATTATTTGGATATCTTTGGCATTTGAGCCACGAGTTTCCAAAGGGGTATAGATCTCAGCGTCAACGTACCATGGAAATCGCTTACCGTTTGCTTACCTGCTTGGCGGGATTTTCCATGCTCCAGTGGACTTGCATGCGTTCGGCATCTGGATAATATGGTGTCTTTGCTGACGGTCTAGGTATGTCTAGGTGGTCTTCTTCGCGGTGGTCTGGGCTGTACCTTGCATGACGCTCCGAGTGGCTCGATGTCCAAGAAGCATTGCTTCCTCGGTGACTGGTCACAGCTGGAGGTGCTTCTTCCAACAAGTCTAGTCCAATCAGCCCATTTGCATGAATATTTGACTGCTCTTGGATGCTCTTGGTATATACTATACAGATCACTTGGATTACTGAGTCAATCAATCACTTACTTCGGTGAGGCCCAATCTGTTTGTTGCTGAAAGCTCCCCAACGATGATATCAGCAAACTCTCAAAAACGTCGCTCCGTCACCGCTGCCATCCGACATTCAATCGTCGAACACCGATGAAAAGGAGGAACCAAATCAATCCAAATCAATGAAATTAATGAATCATAAAGACTGGAAGAATCTCACCAAAACAAATCCCCAAGATTCTGCACCATCCGTCCCCATTCACACCTTCCAAAAGGGAACGGTCTGCTTGCCCCACACCGAACCACTGAAACCCAAGATCACCCACACCGAACCTTCCGTGCGGACCTCGATCAACCTCAACTTCGATTCTTCCAACGTCCGGGACGTGCCCGTCCGATCACGGAACCCCGCCGACTCGTCACCACCCGTTCGTCGCTTTGTTCGTCGCGCGGTCGAGCTTCTTGAGGTCCATAATCTCAGGCACCGCCTCGATGACCATGTCCACGTCCTGGTGCCAGATTCTCATGGGATGCATGGGAGGGATGCATTGTTCTATATTTACATCAACGAGGGATGGCACGGGTATAGGGGAGTGGGAGAGTGGCATCATCGGATGCATGACAATCCTTGCAGGACTTGCATGACAATCCTTCGTTTGGTTGTTAGGACGAGTTTACTGTACCGCAATGACTTGTTATACGGACCACTTGCCTACAACATCCACAACTGGGGCTTTCAGCCACGTTGTGACCGATCCATTTTCAAGTGCCAGGTGGTCGAAAGATGTCGAAAGTACCGGTGGGACCCAGGCTTCCAAAGCAATGGGCTTCACGGGATGTTTGTTCTTTAGGTCAACGGCGGATTCGGAAACTAGAACCGCGGATTCGGAAACTAGGGCGGCCACGGATTCAAAAACGCCGGTTCGGAAACTGGGATTTGGAAACTAGAAGGAGAGCAAATTCGGAAACTAGAACGAGGGCGGATGCGGAAACTAGGATTCGGAAACTAGAACGGGTCTGAATCGGATAGTTTCTGAATCGGGTCTGTGGAATACGAATATGTCCACGCTACATCAACACAAACATTTCGTTAGATTCCCACCGCCCCCACCACCCAGTTTCTGAATCGGGACACCCTGTAGTTTCTGAATCGTAGTTTCTGAATCGGAGATAGTTTCTGAATTGTCTTCTGTTCTTGTTTTCTTGTTCTTTACACCAACATCAGATGTGCATCATGGTGTGACAAAAGGTGGCTCAGTGGATCAGTATATGCACACATATGCATATATTGCATCATATGATTCATATGTGTTGTGTTCATTTGTTGCATGGCGAACTGTTTTACTGGGTTGATGTGTAAAAACATGAGAAGAACAAAATCAAGATCACGATAAATATGACGATCCAAACAGGAATGCCAAGAGAAAATCTGGTGAAAGTCCCACAGATCAGATCCGAGGTCTACAGACCCATGCAGGTGAGCTGATAGAGCCCAAAACAGCAACCAACCACATCCTTTTCGCATCTCTTTCTCTCGAAGCAAAGCTTGTAGGTCAATGCGACGCCATTCTTCACCTGCAAGGTCTTGTTGGGATGGAATGTTTGCCAACATGAACTCGTAGCCGCAAGCACTTGCCTGGTGTCGGTTGATACAACGAGAAATGCTCCGATCGCTGATGCCGAGCGCACTGGCAGCGTTGCGTATAGATGGATGGCTTGTCCAGTATTTGCTGTCCTTAAGCTTGCTCAGCACTGGTGTGCAGTTGATACTGTTCCTGATGCCTGTAGCTGCATAAAAGTGGGCCATGTTCTCAGACTGCGTTACATACTCCAAGTTTTCAGCTGCGTTGTTTCCCTTGTCCAAGTCTTTGTGGTTAACATAGCCTGCATGCATAGAGACAGGTGGCCCCAGAAATGCAAACGCCACAAGACGATGGACCAATTCAGTTCGTCTGTGCGATGTCAAGCAAATGCCAGTCCTGTAGTACCCAGACTTCTCCAAGCATCCCTGAGATATCAAACCATGTTTGTTCTTGATCCTCCCGAGTGAGCTCACCATCCTTCCTGGCACTTTCAGACCCAACATCGGATCATACATTTGCCGCCACTCTTCTCCTTCCAGTGTTCCTATCTGGCCACCGTCTGCAAATTGAAACTCATAGCCTTTCACTGATTTGCTGCTGCGGCAAGCGTGGGAGACTGACCACTGGCTCATAAAAAGCTCTGCCGCTGCTTGCCTCATTGATGGAGAGGTGGTCCAGCTTTGGGACCCCACTGCTCTCCACATCACAGGCTTGGAGCTCTTAGTTCCCCCAGAACGCCTCGAGAGGCTTGCAAAGGAGGCAAGGGTGTTTTGGCTCTGAGTAATATATTCCAAGTTGTCCAACCGATTGTTGGCTTTGTTGCCATCCCGATGATGCACTTGCCATGTTAAGTCATCAGGTGGAGGACCAAGAAAAGCCAAGGCCACGATGCGATGGACAAAAAAGTCATGATTTGAAACCTTGACCATGCAGTAGCCGGATGGCCTCAAAGATCCATGGGAGACCTCCCTTTTGGTGTTGCACACCCGACCATAGGAACTCACCTGCCAGCACCTCTCAACTTCGACACTCTGGGTGGTTCGACTGGCCATGTATCTAAAGCTATCCAAAATGCAAAACATTCGCCCACCCAAGCAGCTTCGCCACGTTTGACCGACAGCCTTTCGAATGACCTCCATGATGTCATTTCGTCGGCGCCATTCATTTGGAGCTGATATGGCAGCCAAGTACTACGCCCATGGGAGGGAAATGGGATTTATCAGAACATGCCTACGATCTTCATCCTCTACCCCATGACAACACAGAGTTCCGGTTTCTGCACTGGCCTTGAAGTCTGCGAAGTCCAAGGTGGGCTTCAGCAAGCTGTGGTACCTCAGTACAGCAAATTGTCAAACAATCATTGCTTGGAGCGTGGGAAGCTTTGGTGAACTGTGGTTCGAATGTTGCACTTTTCAACATCTAGACAACTGTGTGCTTGCTTAACCTTCATTTGGTTAGAAAGCCATTGAAAAAGAACATTCATTCTGCACTGTTGGACCTTCAATGGCAGTGATGGTGCTGCGTCTTTTGCAGAAACTCTAAGGATAATACAAGTATATAGTGTAGTTTCGAGTATCAATAACAATCAGCTCTGTTTTGCTGCAAACAACATTGATTCTTTAGATGTGTGATGGCAGCACTTTTATTATGTCTTTGCTTCCCCTTGAGGCATGGATCAAATCAATTTCCTCGGTGGACTTGGGGTTCCCCATTCGGAGTCGTCCTCACATTGGAGGCCTCGTTTTCATGAACAATGTCCAACGGAGCGGTTCATGTCTGTCAAAACAGGGTGTCCAACATCAAACATGGAACAACCCCTTTGGCAAGCCTTGCCTCGACCCAGTCAGCAAGTCCATGAACACGCGTCTGGAAGATTGGTCTTTTGTGTGAGCCAGTTAATCAGCAAAGGGCTGCATCGTCTTCCAAAATGTTCAGAACTTTCTTGGGTTGATGGTCGTACTGATAGAAGCCAGTCTGTAACTATCAAGAATCAAGATGTCCTTGCTGATTGGCCACCAGCATATCCTTTGCTCATCCTTTTTCTCTTTCCCTTGCTCCGTCCAATATCCAAAAGCGGAAAGCCCCAAAAAAACGACTCCAAGCTGCTGGGAAAGCCAAAAAAAGAACGACTCCAAGCTGCTGATTGTACTTGTCCTTGCTCAACTTGCCCTTCTTCAAGCGGCCAGCCCACAGGGAGTCGATCTTCTTCACGCCGCCATCCAGCCACTCCTGCCGTGTGGAGCATCGCACGGCAGCAGCCACAAAGCAGCTGCTACGAGACAGTGGAAGATGTGGAGCTTGTATAAGCTCATCAAGTGATGCAACCAAGGAGAGCTTTATGAGATGAGACCTTTAGTTGTGAGCTCATATAGCTCATATAAGCTCAATAAGCTCACCACAAGTGCAAGTGAGTCGTGCCTACCACTCCAACCCATGGAAATGACATTTGGGTAGTAGATTAGCCCCGTCTACCAACCCTCACCAGTACGGAAGGCCTGACCAGACGCAGACGCAGACAGCTATCAGACTTGGTGTGGTCCCTCATGGTCCCTCAGAGTCCCTCATTCCCACCTGCTTGGCATCCTTTAGCACGACAGGGATGCCCTTCTGAATGAAGCACATCGCAATGCCGCCACCCATCCTCAAAGGACGACTCATACCGAAGACGAATACGGAGACGAAAGGCTGGGGAATCACAGTGCGGCATGCAGGCGTGGCAGCCACGTGCGCATTCAACCACGATGTAGTATATATATATATTATGTTTTACATATTCAATTTGCTATCGTGAACCATCATCAATCATCAACCAAGAATGTTGAAACTGAACGTAAAGACATATCATAATATCATAGAAAATCATAGAAATATCAATTGAATTGGTTTGGGTCCAGTGCCTGCTCAAAAAAAAGATGCCAATTGCTGATCGCGAGTTGTGAACCTGTTCAATCACTGCAATTCATCGGTCATCAAATGAAATCTCCTAAATACAGGTACCACATGGTACCATAAGGCAGGCTGTATCTAGCCTCCTTGATCAACTGCCCCTGAGCAATCGAGCCCCCTCGAGCCTTGTCAGCGGCTTGTGAACTGTCCAAAAATGTCGACGGGGGGATGTTGCAGCTGCCAGTTCCAAGATCTTTATGATCATCCACTATGATTCACCGCACCCTTCTTCGTCTCCCCACCTCTTCCCCCATCTCTAGGCTCCAAACAAATAAGTATGCTTAAAAACAGGCTGCCCATCTCCACCAGGACCATCCTGTCTGGGTGTCCTGGTTGGACTACCCTACTATTTTTCCGGGATCTCCAAAGTCGGACGCCCAGGAGCATCCGGATGCTGGCGAAACCCATGATAAACCACACCATGTCTGCGTACGGAAACATGTTGCATCTTCTTAAATTCTTCTCCCAGCGGCAAGCCAGCACCGAGGATGCCGATCTTATTCAAGGGCAACGGCTTCTCATCCACGCCGGGCACCTTCTGCGCCAGGCGCTCGGACAAGAACAGGTGCCGCAAGGCAGCGCTCTCCACGGAGAAGACGAGCTTGGTGAACTCCTCTTGCTCCACCTGAGCTGCACGGTGGGTTTTGGAAGACAGATTGACAAAGAAAACGGTGGTTGAACCAAGCAACAACCTCAGAAGTGAGCCTTGAAGATGGGATGACGGACGGTATGAGAGGGGGGGTGAATCCTCCATGAACCTGATGGAAGTCCAAAAGTCCAATTCACCTTTCAACGGCTGGGTTTACACTCCCTCGAACTAACATGGAAGTGGAGAATGGCCCCTTGGAAGACCATTTTCCTCTACAAACAGGGGGTTGTTCACTTCCATGTTAGTTGCAGGGAGAGTATTGTTCTAAATAGGTCCTGGGAAAGCCTGGTGGACCTTTGAATAGCCTGGTATGATCATGAATGATCACATTTGTACGTTGCTTGGGGAGCGTTGACATGTCCCTGCCTTGAGCCCATCACGGAAGGGCTTGCCGCTGCAAGCAGCCTCGAAGCACTTGATGATGGACCTGCAACATGCTGCGGCAAATGATTCTGACTAGAGCGATCCTCACTGTAATTCCTGTTCATGGGGGGAAACAATCTGGTGTGACTCAAGCACTACGGTTGAGTACGACTCACTGAGCACGTGTGCTCATGTCCAACAGAATTATGATACGTATGGCTTTCATTTTGTTTTTTCACTCCTCAAAATCCAGTGGCTTCTGCCTTCAGCTTCTGCACTGCCTGAAACACCCAACTGCCCGAACGATCTCTCCCGCCTGGGCGCAATCATCAGGGGCGCGGCGTTCACGGCGGTGTTGAGCCCTTGCTCCAGTCCACCTGCGGCCACCATAAACCTGCCGAAGATCGAGCACATGGCGGCGTTGAAAAACGGAAGCCCGAACGGAACGGATGGAGTGAAAATGCATGGAACAAGAACAAGTCGTGGCTCGTTTTTCGCGGTTTGGGCCGGGAGGGAAACCATGAAAATTCATGGGAAATCTCCAGTTCCTGATCTTGGGATCGAAATGAGTTCTCTTGACTGTCCAATGCTCTTTTTGGCCTTTGGGTAGATCTGCATGGACTCATCAGCTGTCGTGACAAAAGTCCACAATATCATTCAGCCAGGAGGATTTCCATGGCATCTTTGAGGGGTGCACTCTGGATTCACCTCGTGCCCCAATAGCCACCGTCCAGGCCAGGACCGCCCAGTGTCTTGGGGTGTGGTCAGGTTCCGCTATTTTTTGCATGGACATTTGGAGATGGCTTCTTGTTACTGGTAGTGAGAATGCTCCTAGTAGCGATGCCAGGAGCCCCCAGTAGCGTCCTTGCTCCTAGTTACCTGGAAACATTTGACCTAATGTCCCCTGACGGCATGCCCAATGTAATTACCCACCTCACCTAATCAGGGCCAAGGCTGAGTTCCAACCGATGGGCTTAACAAATCGCCCCCTGTGGTCCCCTAAACCCCAACACCAAATCCCCAACACCAAACCCAACTCTGGATCACCACATTAGCCGCTGCACGAACCAGTCCCTGCGCGCGTGCATGTGCTCTCCATCGCTAGACCGACGCCCCCCCCCGCGGTGCCGCACCTGTTGGTCTTATGGACCTCCCGTTTGGAGATGGGTGCAGGTGGATGGCTCAGTGCCCATTCAGCTGCTTCCTCCGGTGCCACCGTGGCCACCGTCGGTGTGCGGTGACAGATGGTGTGACAGGGGTCTCCCAGGTGGTGTTCGGTTCACCACATGCAAACCAGCAGCTGCTGCAGCTGGGTACTGGTGAATCTAAGTAGTTGTAGTGATCGCATACGGATGCCACTGGAAATATATTAACTAATATTAACTATAAATGCATCATAGTGGATCGTATATATATATATATATTGCATATCATTGCATATCATTGCATTCTTACTAATTTGAAGATGGGTCACAATCACAATTAAATAATCCTCATTGAAGATAGGTGATCACCCCAGAGCCTCGATGAGATCCTTGCTGGCCACCAGGTCCACGATACCATTCCTCGTTCGGGAGCGGAACAAGCGAAGGTGATGGATCGATTCACCTGGTCTACAAGGGCATGGATGTCATCCCAAGGGCTTCGGATGTCCCAACTATGGGTCTCATATCTACGTAGCTCCTGGCCTTACTACTATAGTAGCAAGAAACTATTAGGAGCAAGGGCATCGCTACTAGTGACAAAGGGCACTACTGCTAGTAGCATTCTTACTACTAGCAAAAAGAAGCTATTAGACATCACAACTATGGGTATCTATGGGTCTCATATGTGCTGTGCTTTTTAAATGAGTTGGAGTCATAGGTTTGAACATCACGGATGGTGGTGGAAAGATGTAGAAGATCAATCTCGGTGTTCCTCTACCACTCATTCATGCTGACACCGATGGGTCACTGATGGTCACGGACGTTGTGAGACCGGACAGTGTGACCACTCTTGGTCTTCCTAACTCTCTCTCTCTCTCTAGTATAAAGTTCCAGGGGTCACATGTCCGGGTGGATCATCTGCACCCCCCCAAACACCTCGCATGGGCATCCCGCCATGGAAACCGTGTTGGAAACACGTGGGTTGACCATGTGGTGAGGGAAGAAGACATGCGGCCACCATTTGGGAGGTTGTCCGAGCATTTGGAACTGTATTCGTTCGAGTACGAAAGGTCTCCTTTGAGGGTATGTAAAGAATCTTCACCGATCCTTTGACTTTCTGGTTGTCTTTTAACTTTAACATCTTTCACTTCATGAAGTACCTCCACCCAAAATCGTTGCTTCAGCCCCTACTAGACCAGGACGACCACCACTGTTTTCCCGGGCCGGGCGGCTTCTTCGCGGCCTGGGCATTGAGCGGATTGCCCTGGAGGATCATGGACATGGCCGTGGGCAGCGGTGCCACACGAGGCAAGCGCTGAGTGCCCTGTGCGCCGGGCAACAGACCCAACTTCACCTGCCGTGTCGTGGCGACGAAGTTGCTGACACCCGGGTTTCGTGGCGTGGGAGGGGCTTTCTGTGCTGAAATCCAGCAGAAGGGGCGAAAGGGTGAAAGGGGCTCAGCATGTTCGAAAGGGTCCACTTCGGCGATGCAAGGCCAATGTTCTTGGGTCGTTGACACCAAAGCCACCTGGCGCAGCCATTGGCCCAAATCCGCTAGAATCTCCCAGAATTGATTTGCAAAGGCCTTAGCAATTGATTTGGCCCAAATCCTTAGCCCAGACCACTAATTGATTTAGCCCAGCCTTGGCCTTTGTGGTCTTGGCTAGCCTCCCAAAACATGGTGCAGTGCCCACCACCACAGACCCCGAGATAGGCCCAGGCCGCCGAGATAGGCCCAGGCGCTCTGCAAAGACCGGGCGAACTGGACCCCACCTGGTCTAAAATGTCTAAAGGCACATGAACACCAATGCATGTTGCCTGGACAGTCCTCTTCAGACCACAGAAATGGAGTACAAACGAAGCCTGTGTGTTTCCCCGTCCAGATGTGGAGCTCAAGAACAGCTGCCTCACAAACACGCCGGGCAAATGTTAGTGTGTCTAAAGAAATTGTGAGTGTGTCTTAAGAAATAGGATCCTAGCCCTGAAAGTTATTAACCTCACTCGCGGCACACTGAAAATATCCCAGAATCGCAAGAATCCCACCTGTGCCTCCACATACCACTGCGAAACCCTCAGGACCTCAGAACCGAGTACAAACTGCCTGGAATCCTCAACTCAGCGTTTTCAGGCCGTACCCGTACCACTTTTTCGGGATATACCAGTGAAGGACGACCCCTGCATCCACCTGCCATCCACCGTCCTCGGACGTTCGGCCTCTGGGAAGCCCACCGAGGACTTGGCCGAGGCCACGCGATAGTGGCAGGCCAGGCTCACTTCCTGAGGGCCACCGTTGCGGAGATAGCAAGGCCTCCACCGTTGGACGTGTTTGGTGCATATAGCAAAACATTGTTATAAGATATATATATATTATATTATGTGCAATGGAACAGAACCACAATGGAACATCAAGAATGGAACCAATTGTTTTTCGTCCATGAAGCAGACGGTCGGCAAGGTCTGCCAGATGGTGCTGTCATGTCTGACATTGGTGCTGTTCACCTGTTCTGCTCATCTATTGGCTTCTATCAAATGGTTTGCTTGCTATGTTGAGCAGAGAGAGTGAACAGGTACTGATTCACTGCTTGGAATAATGCACATGTGAGTGGCAAGTATGCAACAAAAACATACAAAAACAAAGAGGAACAATATGAAGGTACAGCAAATCATAATCATGTATGTGTTCAAAACAGGAAACGACAAACAACTCAACAAAATGGCAAAGACCAGAACTATCAAGAAAACATAAGCAACTGTGACTGTGACCTTCTCAAAAGAAAATAGTTAAAATACGCGTTCTCATTTCACCCCAAGCCAATTTGCCTTAGCCCTATAGCAATATTAAAACAACAATAAAAACATAGTAAACTCTGTGCATTCCCGACAATCAGCGGAATAATCTGCCAGAACACCCCAGAACCACGACTGCACGTGCTTTTCATGGACTTGTCAAGCTTCTGTGTATCCTCTCTAGATCTGCCTATATCCTGCAATGATCTGCAATGCATGTATTTCGTTTGATCATGATCTATATGACTCCTAAGCCTCTCCCGGCCCACTTCCCGCTCACTCCCAGGCCAAAGGCGCTCCGCCACCTCCCAGAGCTGGGCCGTTGAGAGCAGCCACCACGGTCTTGGGCGAGGCATCGATCATGTCCATCATCTCGCTCAAGGCCGCCACCGGGTTGTTCTCCTGCGCGGTCCGGTCGACCCGGTCGCGGTCCGGTCTTCTCCAGCTCGTGGACACGATAGGAGGTTGACCCGACAAAAACGTCCCAAGGATGCGGCAATGTGGATGGGCATGACCCCAAAGAGATGAGCATGTTCCGAACACGGAAGTTGGGGGGATTGTCCACTGATGTCCACTGCCATGATTCTTTCAATGAGTAATGTAGGTCCAAGAACTGCCAGGCAGGGGAAGTGCCGAGCGACGGGCAACGAGGGATGAGTATTCAGGTGTTCTTCAGATTTGACTCACCATAAGCTTCGCATAAACCTTCCCCACGCGCCAGCAACATGGGACACTCAACCCCTCCGGCCAATCCGGGTCATGTTGGGTTGAAGCCCAGAATGAATGGCCCAAGACTCTCGAAGTGGAGTCAACTCATAGTGCGTCCTAAAAGATCCTAAGTGTGGAGTACACCCTGGTTCCGAGACCCACATGGAACCTGAAAACCACGCCCGGTTTGTAGAGGAAGTCTGGCCTTCCAGTCCGGTCCATGCCATCGGGTTCCATGTGGGTCTCTTCCCGAGGTACATAGAGCAGCGAATCTCCCTGCAAGAAAACCATCTCTGGCCATCTGTTCACTTCTCAAGTTGGTGACCCTCTTCCTTATTATTCCTTTCATTGGACATCGATGTCTCAGATGTCCCTGGGCCGGCAGGGCCGTGGCCTTCATCTTCTCAGGGCCCATGGCCACCATGATCGCAAACTCCGTGATCTCAGCACCTGCACCCGAGACCAGACTCCAGCCAAGTCGGCCAGGTGGCCTTTTGGAGGTGCCAAACAAAAGTGGCGAAGCACCTGTGGGTGATGTATCATTGGATAGTTCAGTCTACTGTAAATATTGATATGGAGTGTCTATACAGTACATAGACTCTACTGCGGCAAATCCAAGTTGAACAACCCGGCAAAACCAGATTGCCTGCTTTCCACCCACCAGCCCAATCCATTCCAAGACGTTCTTCCCTTCCACCCTTCTTCTCCTTAGATCCACTCGTTCCGCACTCCGATCTTCGCTTCCAAGCGGAACCGTCGTCTGCCCAAACCGCGGCTGCGGCCGAAATGGCTGCGATGGCTGCGGCCTCCGCAGAACATGTTGCCTTTGCCGGTGACCACGATGGCCTTCACCTTGGGATCGCTGACCAACTTGGGGAACTCCTGTGCCGGTCGTCTCCGAGCAAAGCGCCGAGTCGTCTCGGGCGTTGGGATGAGGATGGAGGTGGGTGGTTTGATGCTTGGGCGCCCCGCAGAGACCTTCGGAAAGGAAGGGGAACGGGGGAAGGAGGGTATAACTGGGTATAATTTGGTGGCGTTTTTTTGCTGCGGAGCTTCCTTCTGGAACGTGTCGAAATACACCTGGCAAATTGACTTGCTTTTTGATGTTGTTGTTTCAAAGTGAGGGCAGCCCCCGCATCTCCGATGAAATCATTCCCTCATGCCATTGTCCATCCATGTCACCGCTAAATTTAGGACAAGCAAAACAGCACGTGACCACGTGGTGGCCAGGTCTTGGAATTGAATTCATGGGAACAAGTTCTGCACCGTCTCAGACCCTTGGGTCAATGCCACAAAACTTCTGTGTGACTGCGATTCATCCAGGTTGTTCCGTTCTTGTAAACAGTCTCACACTGTTTACCCCCTGTCCCCGGGCTCCCCCGGCTCATCCTGCTTGAAAGAGGTCACCAATTCTGTGCCCAGCGAATTCCTCAGCGCTTCTGTGTACAAGTCATTCGCCCAAACAGATCGAGGCTGATCTTGATAACTTTTCCACGGACCAAATCAGAATGGACACACCAATCACTATCAAACACCGTAGGCTGATTGATGTCTCAGCTACTGACCCATACTATACCGTCTTTGAGTTTTGGTCTTTTACCATCCGTCAAACATGTCAAAACAATTACTGTGCTGTAAACAATAAAAACTACAGAAACGGTCATCATGAGTCCTAGACCATTCTCGATCTCAAACGTGGCCCAATTTTTGAGCCACTTTGTGCTGTAACTCTTTCTTGTACGAACCCGAACTTCTGGAATGGTCTTCCAGTGTTGGAGCAGAGTTTCCATCAGCGATCAGCAAAAAGTAATCGGAACATTGAAATTCTGGGGATATATATATATATATACCATCACGCACTGTTGTTATGGTATTGGCCCGACTCGGAAACCGGAACAAAGAACGAGAGTCAACTCCACCCGGCATGTCCGGAGGGTCCTCCGGTGCAGTTTCAAAACCGGGAGACGGTGTTGGTCTATGTTCCGAATCTTCCACCGGATTTTTAAAAAAACTGGGAGCTCTTCCTCTTTCAATACACCCCATGGCTGTTAGGTTGGAGGCCATTCCTACTATAGTAGCTAAGAAGCTACTAGTACATGTCTCAGCTAGAAGGAAAAACACCCATGTGTTCTTTGAAGCTGCAGCTCCGCCCAGCCCCGCCCGGCTCCGCTCCGTCTAGTCACACTGGAGGGCTGTCCATGGTGATGACACCCACACCATCAGGACGGACGTTGATCGTGGCTGGCATGGCCGCTGCGAAGAGATACTGGGACGCTACTGGTGAGCTGAAGGCTTTAAAAGAGCTCGAGCCCAAAGGTCCAATGATGAACATGCAGCATGCAGGAAAATAATGTTTTAAACAATAAATGCGGTGGGCAAATCATCAGGTGTGGTGATGAATTGTCAGATGCTGAACAAGCATCGTTGAACATGTTGCACACAGCTTGCTGTCACGATCGGTCGTGACGGAGCCCGTTTCATGTGGCATGTGGAGCTGCCACGCTCGGTGAAATCAGCCAGTTTGGCTCAAGAACCTGGATGCTCCTCCCCTCAAGTACAGTTGAACCCTTCAAATTCCTGGACTGGGATGAGCCTAGAGTGACATCACTAGGGCAGTGAATCAAAAGCATTCAAGAGTCGCTTCACATCATTTTGCTGGGTCACAAAAATACGCCACAGCATGCCGGAAGTTCTGACCCTACAATATGACCGCGTTCTACTTTGACATCAGAAAACGTTTTCATCCGACTTGTCAACTCTCCACCTCAGGGCCTAACCAAACGAAAACCTGACCGCAGAACCCGACTCTTCAACCGAACACCGAAGCGCCGCGAACACCGAAGCGCCGCGCTCGGCGCCCCGGGGGGGGTGGTTCGGTGTCCACCGAAGATTCGATGGTCCAATGGTAAGGTCACTTGCTTCAAGAGTGGAGCTACTGGTAATGCCCTTGTTACGAGTAGATGGTCAATGGTCACTTTCTTCAAGATCTCCATCACCTCAGGGAACTCCGTGACGTCCACGTCCTCGTAACCCCGCGACGCCCGCGCGAGTGTCGCGAACGAAACGAAGGGCCGTGCCGCGCATCTCCACGCCGTTTCTCCAAACAAGAAGGAGGGTGAAGCTGGCTTATGTTCTGAAGAGTTTCTTTTTATGTCAGTTTGCTCTTGGGTCCTGCCTTTTCATGCTCTTTGTCTCCCGGTTGGTCCGTTCCTTTTAATGCATGCTGTGCTTGCTGTGTTTGCTTGAAGTTGCTGGATTCTCCTTGTGTTTTCGAAGTTCCTGTCAAGTGTCACAAGAGTCACACATCATAACAGGCTGTTAGGGTTATTTATTTAGGCAGTTCCTCCATCACCTGACCTGACTAGTTCAAACAGCGAAGGAAGCCAGAACAGGATCATCTTCATGGCTGGTCATTCACAAACAGTTTTCATGTCAACGCGGGCATGTTTATGGGTGAACCATGTGGGTGTTTGTAAATGATTTTAAAGCTGGAAGTCCGCCAATCAGAATTATACGCAGTCTAAGGAGAAAGACAAAGTACAAACAGCAATTACTGATAAGGAAACCTTTGTCGGAGTGTAGTTAGTTGGGTGTGTGATGGTGTGGGTAAGACATGGTTGACATCCAGGAAAAGTCTTCTCAAGGATTTGACCGGCCCACACCTATGTCGAGTCCCTGCTAAATAGGAAGTGTTTGGCACAACTGATGCTCATTCCCACCTGGTCGTTGCGAAGGGTTGGAGACCACCCAAGCTACGGAGAAACATCAACCAAACCACCCGGACCCAAGCACGACCTGAAGAAGAATTCCAGCACTCACTCCAGCGGCCCGGCATGGACTCACTCCACTGGCTTCCTGTTGCAGTGCTTCGGGTTTGGTCGCCTGGTGACCTTCGACCCATCCGAATCCTCGCGCGAACACACCCTCCTCTGCATCGGTCTCAGCTCTGACCTCAGAGGGTCATGAAATCAGTGCAACAGCACTGATGTTCTTTGAAGTGTTGGATGGAAACATCATGAAAGAAACCAACCTGTGCAAGAATCTAGATCTATATATTCGTCTATTCGTGAACATTTGGCCATGCTCACTCTGTTTTTTGTTCCAACTCTGTGAACTCCTCATCGCTACAGAGTGGTCAAGGCTGGGGGATCCATCCGGTTGAGCGGTTTGGAGCCGTAAAACAGGCCGTTGGCAAGTTGGACTAAAACCAGCTAATATATGTATTAAATTGTACTAATATATGTATTGAGTTTAAAATACTTGCTGGTCTTTGATTGTTGAGGGTCTGTGAACAGTATCTATATAGTCCATGACACACCCCAAACAAACACGCGACCATCCATTTCATTTAGCAATCCCGGCAATCCCAGTTGTAGGAGTTGCCAGTTGACTGGGCCGTTCCACTTAACCAGTCTGAGGAAGATCGGCTGTCACTGGTGAAGATCGAGGTTCGGGGTTCGGGGCTTCGTCGTGTTCCGTGGGGGAAGCCCAGGAATTCTGGGCTTCGAGTTCGCTCTCTTAGTGTCCTCCACAGGGCTATCATGGGCTATGTATAGTCGTGTTTAGTTTTCTTTTATACTACTGGAGGGTGTAAAAGGGCGTGTTTCGAAGCTGACCGGATATTCAAGAGAGCGAATGGGATGCTGGAGCTGGGTCGAATCACATTCGCCAGACGGCTCAATTCGGATTCGCCAGACCCCGAATCAGAAGGTATCTTCTGTGATTGAATGCGACCCTCAAACCAGCGCAACATCGCCATGAAGTTTCCAACTACCCTCCCTGAAACAATCATGGAAGTGGAATACAGCCTGTTCATAAAGGAATTCAGTCTTCCAAGGGTCCTTGTTCCACTTCCATGTTTGTTGGATGGAGCGTATAAGTCCGTTCCGACCTTCTCAACCATCTCGACCATCCCGCTCGGGCAGGCTCACCACAACCATGCACACGTCCAAGCCAACTGCGTCTCAACTACAGTATCACAAACATCCGCTCGACACACCGTTCAACTTTGCTTGCATTGTCTACCGCCACAAGACTTGGGCTGGCTTGCATCCAGCGAGTCTTGATCATCTTTGCGCACCGCTCCAGTCATCAATGTTCACTCTTCCTGCAACAGAGCCAAGTTTGATACCTGAAAAATCCAGGTGGCGATTTCGCCACAAACCACAGAGCTCCAATCGCCCCAAGCACCGACCTTCGACGTTCGGTCCCCGCGTAACTACAGTACTTTTGTTCAGGGCGAACGACACACGAAGCGCTTCGACTCGGCGTGTCTCGACTCGACGATCTCCCGATCGCTGGCTTGGGGCAACGACTTTTCCACACGCGGCGAAAGCGCTGGAATGCAGCGCAATCCTTCACTTCAGCCAGGACAGGAATGATCGACAGCTCAGGGTCCAAATGACTCCACTCACCGCACAAGTATCACTCACCGCATCTACAGCGACCATCCCTTTTTCGTCCCGCACACCACAACCATCGAGCTTGCATCCAAGCAAGGTCTGATAATGCTCAATGGTCGCTGATTCTGGAAGGGCGACGCTGATTTCGCAAGAAACTCACTCGGCATTCTTGTTTCCATTTGAGGAGGCTACGGCTACCAATCTTTGACTCCTCTGCACTCTTGTGCAACAGGTGCAAACTCTGACTCTTCTCCAGCCCTGCGTCTAACTTTTGGAAGGCCTTTCACAGTGTTTCGCAGAACTTTTCAGGTTCACCCGCACCCCCGCACCCCGAAGACTCACAAAGCGCAGAATCAAAGCCAGCACAACAATTGTGTCTCGGAGATGATCTTCAGTTTTACACTCCCGAAACTAACACTCTCAAAGACTCAAAGACTGTTATTTTCTCTACGAAACAGTGGTTTTCAGGGTCTATGTGGTTTTTTGGGTGGGGTAATATTTTCAATAGTAGTGCTGCTAATGGAAAATAGCCTACGTCACCCCAAGCCCTGAACAAAGGGGTTGCTTTGAACTTTGAACAGCCGCCAAAGCATCATAAAACACCCCCAAGCCGGAAATGGTGAATGGATGTATGACCGGCATATCGGCGTTGGTGCGACACCCAATCTCGTCCATATCCACAGCCAAACCCCATTTTGTTTGCTTCTTGTTTCCTCCCCAGCCCAGCCCGGACTGAAAGAGGCAAAGAGGCGACCATTTTTCGTGCAGATCTGGAGAGCCCTAGCCGCCCTAGCCACAGACGCATTCGGGTTGACATGTTCTTTGAGAATTCTTTTGACATTCCCTTCGCATGGTTGTCTTCTCGTCAAAAACACTGTCTGCCTTGATTCAGAGCATCTCATCTACCCCCAAGAGTTGAAGAGCCCTGACCAAGAACGTGCAGAAAATTGATCCAGTTTTATATGTTTAACGTCATTTGGACCAAAGAACCCGAACCCAGCACACATGTGACACGGTTGTAGATGTTAACCAATTAGGGCAGTGGACTCTGTGTCGTTAGTTTCAAATCGTTTTCTAAACAGGAAACGGTTCAAAATCGAATCTACGTATTAAAGGTTTCAATCACAAACAAAAGAAATGTCTTAACAAGATTGGTTCAACATGTGTGGAACAAACCTCAAGTTATTGAAAAATGAATCAGGATTTTGTCCAACCTGGTTGATTTTGAGTGTCGACGTTGTTGTGCCAGTCAACAGTCCAAAAGATTGTAAGACGGAACAAGTGAACTCTACGACGATATATTTGGCGGATTCGGTGAATCCTGCAGTTGGGGTAAAATTGCCGCCTTGAATTTCATCGTCTATGAGGGAATATCTGGTTGGTTGGCAATCACCACAATATGTGAAACACCTATAGCAATCACCAGGTTTAGCAACAACTTTTTACCTCGGCAGGAATATCAAGGGCAGTTCTTGATCCAAAAGGCAATGGGTTACTGACACGAGCTTCCCCCAATGCTTACTTATATAGCCCAACGTCAACAAACATTCAACTCAAACTCCAGCCAAGCTAAAGCACCCTGCCTCTCACACCTCCGCAGAAAAACGTTTCTCCCACAACCTGTGCTGACAGGCAGGTGCACGAAACACAGTCTTCATTGGAGCTGTTGGAAGTAGGCGGGGCTCTGCAAGAGGGCCCCCAAGTGCACTCTAACATCAAAGCCTGGAAGACAAAAATTGCACTTGCGCTACTTGTGCCCACTACCTCCAACTCAATACTTCACAAAATGCTTCAATGCTTGAACAACATGAACCATGTGGACCACCTGATCAAAGGAGCCGCTCACAGTATCTCACACCGATCAAGATTGGTCAAGCGATGACAAGTGCAGTAGCATGTCTTTGGGACCTCTTGCGTTGGGCACGCGCCA